CCAACGCAAACCGCAGAAACTGACGGTGGCGTGGAAGAATGGAGAGATGAAAATACGCGTCCTTCAGGTCTATGGCTGCAAACCAATCCTGAGGACGAACGCATCGGAGGATGCGCCTCTGCGTAAGCATTCTGAACGACAGCTTGTGAAGGCAGCGATTCAACACGCGCAGATCTAGGATTGGCCGTGACCCACCGCTCTTTTTGGGTACGATGAAGTACGGGCTGTAAAACCCACTCCCCATCTCGGCTGGAGGTATAGGCTTGATTGCACCCTTCGCTAGGAGGGCAGCAATCTCCTCTCGCAAGACAGGGGCGGACAGGGGATTGACCCTGGTGAAATACACGCCCGTGAACCTGGGAGGCCGTTTGGAGAACTGTAGTTCGTAGCCGAGTCTGATCGTGCGTATGAGCCACCGCGAGAGGCTGGCCCGCGCTAACCAGGCAGGCAGAGCCCTCGCTAATGAGGTCATCGCAGCAATCATTGACGTACCCGCGGAGGGGCAGCGCGGAGCGGGTGTGCTGATCCGGGGAGCGCGAGGGTCCCGCAGAAGAGCTGAAAGAGAGCGATTCGCTCTGGCTCCGCACCCTGACTCCTGAGAGGGGGCTTGGGGGCTGGGAGAAGGGAGACCGTCCCCCCAGCGCCCGAGAGCCGCTGGCGGAGCATGCAAACCCTGCGAGCTGAGAGGCAGCACGTCCCAGACTGGCAGGGCTTGAGCTGTCACATCCGGGGAAGGGAAAAAATGCTCTTTGATAGAAACTTTGGTGGCACTGAAAAGTACCGTTGGAATATGGGCCCCGCCCTCCAGCAAGGAAAGAGCAAGTCTCCTCTTCTCCGGATGGTCTGTCTCAGGGACGCTTCGCGGTCCGTTTACCGGACTTAGCGGCGCCCTGGGCAGGAGGGGCTACCGGCTTTCGGCGTGCTCGACGGCGGGGGCGGGGCATCGGCCGTTGGCGGGCGCCCCCGGCGAGGAGCAGCGGAGGTGGATGGCTCGGCCGGGGATGGAGCGGGCTTACGGCCCCGGCGATAGATGACATTGCTCATCGCATCCGACTGCTCCTTCACCGCCTTGAACTCCTGGGTGAATTCACCGACGGTGTCGCCGAACAGGCCAGCCTGGGATATGGGCGCGTCAAGAAAGCGAACTTTGTCAACATCGCGCATATCTGCCAGGGTTAGCCAGAGGTGGCGTTCCTGGACCACAAGTGTGGACATCGTCTTCCCCAGTGCGCACGCGGCGGACTTAGTGGTCCGGAGAGCATAGTCGGTCGCCGTGCGCAGCTCGTGTAAAAAGCCTGGGTTAGACCCACCCTCGTGCAGCTCAGCCAGCGCCTGCGCTTGGTAGCGCTGGTAGGTGGCCATCGCGTGCAAGGCGGAAGCTGCCTGGCCCGCAGCCTTGTAAGCTCTAGCTCCGAGGGAGGCAGATAACCTACAGGCTTTGGACGGGAGACGGGGCGGACCGCGCAAAGCGGGGGCGTCACGCGGACAAAGATTGACCGCAATGGCGCGCTCCACCTGCGGGATCGCCTCATACCCCCTGGCAGCTCCACCATCCAGGGTGGTGAGGGCGGAGGCGGACGCAGCGCGGGCAGAGAAAGGTGCCCTCCAGGACTGCGTGAGCCTACTGTGCACTTCCGGGAAGAAGGGGACGAGAGGCTTCGAAGGCTTTGCCTTTTGATCCTCTACGTAACACCCATCTAGTCGGTCCGGCCGCGGGGCTGGGGGATAAACCATCTGCCCAGAGGGGTGAGCGGGTCCGGATCATCGTTGGACAATGAAAGCCCACCCTCCGATGCCGCGGAGGACATCTGATCTCCGGTGTCAGCGAGCGTGAGAGCTACCATCTGATTAGACGGATCACTCCCAGTACCCGAAGCTTGGATGGAGCGTTTGGAGGAGCGAGAGGTCCGCGAGCCCTTGGGCGGTAGATTATCTCTCGCTGGAGCCCTCAGATCTGCCCGAGCGCCCGCTGCAGAGCAGGGGGCGACTGGGGTGGCTCGCTCTCTTACGAAAGCTAACCGTGATCTCAACAGCGCAACGGTCATGGCATCACAGTGACGACATGAACCGCCCCTGAGCACCACATTAACATACTGGACCCCCAAACATGTAATGCAGTGATCGTGCCCATCATCCGGAGCCAGGAAACCCCCGCAACCAGAAACGCACAGTCGGAGCGCCATCCTGAAAAGGACGTGCTGCACGACTGTGTTGCTCTTTTAAAATACTTTGCAGCAATACGCACCGCTCTTGGAGGACTGGACCCAAAGGGACGCCAGGCAAGGGAGAAACCCAGCTCGACCGTCTGCCGCTGCATGGACTCGCTCTGGACCGGGAGACACTCGTTCGCTCGAAGTGGCTGTAGACAGCAGGAGGAACCCACATGAAAAGTCTCTGAAGCGAAAAGGATAGCGTCTGCTGGCGCCAGGTGTGCTTATATGCTCAGTTAATTGCCTATGCAGCACACCTGCGCAGGCTTGCGCTGCCAATTCATTCTTAATTGGCCCGTTCAATACTCTTTCAGACGAGTAGCTTCTGAATCGAATCTCCCATACGTGGATTTAACATCAATCCACTTATAGTGCTGGAGTTCCCCCCGAAGGGGAACCAGACTTCTCCCCAAACATCCTGCAGAGAGTAGACCGAACAAAGAACATCACCAAAAGGTGGCCCTTTTGGAGGGCCACGCGGCTTTCTAAGCCGCATGGACTTTTCCCGCCACGCTTTCTTATTTTCCGGCAAAGTAAACTCAGTTTAAAGTTTGCGATCGTGTTCGTCCGAACTGTATTACAAACTCAACCCATCAAGAAGGACATCAAAGGAGTTTCATCAGGAAGAGACCCGCATAAAGAGAGAGACCTCCAGACATGAAAGTCCAGGTATTTTTAGTTACGCGAATAAGCTGTGCCCCTTTTATCAAAAAGGTGTTTTTTATAATCTTGGTGATCCTTAATGGTGCGTGTGAAACTGAAAGTTTTGTCACTCTTTTATCTGAAATCTCTATTTCCTCGCTTTACTATTTCTCTTTGTTGTTACACGTTCTATAGACCCGATATCTCCATGAACAAGAAGTAGTAATTAAATTCCCTTTTTCTAAATGAATAGATCATTACCGTGTCCGCTCGGAAGAGCGGCGGCTCTAGTTATGTTTGTTTGGTCAAGTTAACAATAAATTAATCCAGAATATTAATGATTAATAATCATTTGTTATTGTTGATAATTAATATTCATAATCTAAGAGTCTGCTCGGTCGAGCGGGCATGATCTTATACAATCATGTGTTTGTTTGACCAGATTGACTGAAGCTTAAGCCGGAATATTAATAATTAAGAATAAACCGTTATTGTTGATTATTAATATCCATAAAATGAGCTAATTTCTGTTACATATTGGTGGAGAGAATGCGGGCAGTTTTCCAAACATTTTCTGTGGAACAAACTTTCTAATTCATTGTGATTTATGGAGCGCGCTATAGAAGAAGAAGACCGCGAGAAGCGCTTCCTTTTCTTCAAAGCTGGAAGAACGAAAGCCTCCCCCCAGCCACTCTTGTTCACTTGCACAGCAGAGAGCTGCCCCGTGTTGAGTGTAACGATTTAAACTGCAGTTCATAATATTTTAAATCGATTTTGCAGAGACGGACGTTCCGCAAATCATTTAAATATATTATTGTGCCTGTCGGAACAGAGATTTCCCTCAGCGCTTGTAAGACAGTTTGGAAACCCCAAACCTGTCCTTTTAAAAGGCCTTCTGATAGCTAGAAACATTCTGGACTATTTGCTCCCGTGATTTCAAACTGTTTGATTAGCTGCCTAACGTTTAACCATTCTGCTTCGCCGCCGTGCGAAATTAATTTCAGATCTGCTGGACGGTTCTAAATTAATGTATTTGGGAGCTGCAAGCTTGCCTATTAACCGCTTTCTGACGAAAGGAATTCTCAGAATCATAAGCGTGTTTCTAAATGGTACCAAAATCTGATATGGATGTGAATTCCCATATTTCAGTTATGTTCGTTCGGACCAAATCAGTGTACAAATGTGCATCGCCTCGAGAGACGTCTCGCATTTTATGTTTGTTTGTCTAATTGTAATGGTCAGAAATTATTATCAGTGTTACGGCAACATGATATAATGACCGTTTATGCTAATCTTAGTGGTTCGTGCTTTGCCTTTGTGAAGTCAGCCGCATACCAAGTTATGAATGAAAGCTCCTTTCATTCATGAAACGGCTCTTCGAGCGCTCATTGGCTCCTCGTCCACATGACTCGTGTGCACGCACGTATGCGTGAATGACGTAGCCACCACACTAAAGCATCAGACCCGGCTTTAGGAGGCAGAGTGTGTGACGCGGCTTACATCACAGGGCAAAACAACTCGCTAGCTTCTAACAACTAGCCTTAAGTAAACTAACCCTTCGCGTCTTAATATTACCAAACTGTTAGCACAAGGCTAACCGGATGTGAAGCGTAACTCGTTACAACTTGCTAGCGGCTAACGCCAGCTAACGTTAATGCTTAAGCAAACTAACCCTTCACATCTTGTAACATTAACAAACTTTAGCACAAGGCTAACCAAATGTGAAGTGCAACTCGGAAACATCTCCCTCCTGTCTCCTTCTGCTCTTCTTACATCAGTTCCGCCCACCATTGTGTCTCAAGTGGTCTGAAATGGTCAAATAGTTTGGAGTTAATTTGATTTAATTTCGATTAAGCATTACATTTTCCCTGTTAATATTTTATCCAAACAATATTTTAGTTACCCAATTATAGATTATTGGTCTGTTTTTATTTCTTTTGATATTATGAATTATTTTGTTACTTTTAATTTTTTTTATTACATTTTCTGCCTTCTGTCTTTTTCATTTTAATACCGTTGTCCAGTTTATTTTGTTATTATTTGATTGTAAATCAAGTTCCCAATAATCTATTCTAAACTTAGGTCATGTTAATTTTAATTTTGTTGGTTTTGCTATTTGGGGAATAGCCTTTAATCTTTCTATTATCATTAATAGCATAATTTTTCTTCCCTTTTGATTTTTTTTATTCCATCTTTCCCTCATGCCTTACATATTCCCTCACCGGTTAGGTTATAGGGAAAGTATTATTTTACATTAGGGTTCAAGTATTAGTCTGAAGCTAAATTCAGAGGTATTGATCTATAGATTCCACATCTGATCAAAACATTTTGGGCTAACCCATTAATGTTTGTAGATGCCCCGGAATACTAAGGCACTCTTTCTACTTTTTCTAAGCCGTCCTGTACTACTTTTACCTATAGGGGATTATTATGATTATTTTTTTAAATTCTTTTATGCCGATTTAATTTTCCTTTAGCCTCCCTCCATCATCACAGGGTAATAACCTTCTCTATCCATCAGATACTACAGCATACAAAGATTCCTACTCCAACTGGCTCGCCCAGAATAGTAGATCCATAGTACTACTGTCGTAAATTCGACTTCTTATTAATTAGAAATGATCAGACCAGAGGTTTTGAATATCAGAAAATAGACTTTATTCTCCATAATAAAGCCGAGAAAGAGCCGAGCAGACCTCATAGCATTCTCCTCCTGCTCCTTCTAAACTTTCAGTGTGTTTCCAAAATCTTTATACATGTTTTTTTGACACACCCCTTTGTGTCTCTTTTATCAGAACTTTGTTCTGATAAACTTCTCCTTCCACACGTGGCACTTAGTAGTTTAGAGCTTTGGAATATTCAGGCTCCTCTGTTTCCGGTCAGCTTTTCCTTGCTGGAGGTGTTTCCTTTCGCTCCTTTGAGGCATTGGTACCTCATCAATGGCATCCACTTTGGCAGCTGTTGGATTTGCCCTCATCCAGATATGGTCCTTTCCTCCTGAGCTCTCCAGAGCATCCTCAGATAGACTCAATCACCTAGACCAATAGGACATTGTGTCACTGCTCTCTCACATGGCTCCTTTCTGGTTTCCTGCACAGATATCGCTATGCACATGGCAATTATTTGTTTCTTTATAAAAGTCCCTACTATATTAGATATCTTTGCAAACCATTCCAAGAGTTATGTGCAAGCCAGGTTTTATGCAAAGTTTCATGTGGTTTCTTGCAAGGGTCGACCCAATAGTAGTTCATGCGATGCAGTGTTAGATGCTTGTTTCTGTCAGTTTCCATGCCATCACTCACCAATGCACTTGTTAACACATTAATCCCATTAAGTTTATTATTTTTACATCTTTCATAGAGCGTTGGCCTTGATGGATCATCTTCATCTCTTTCAGCCATTTCTGGTAATTGAGTATAATACAATTACTCTCTCTTTTGCTTTATTCACAATTTTTCATACTCCTTTAGATGTTTTTATTTATTGATCACTTATTAACTTTAATTTTAATTACTTTATGAATGCAAACCCTTTATGAATTTATTTCTGAAGGCATTTCAAAATTTAGGAAATACTTCTCTTGTCACAGATAACTGTTCCTGCTTCATAATTTGCTTCTAGTATTACTCCAATCATCTACTCATCATAGTTTCTTAACAGTGCTTCTTCGCTGAATAATTCTTCATCCAATCAACACCAAAAACAGTCATCATATCTCACTGTTTGGAGCAATGGTCTACACTCAAGTCTTTTAATTGAACTAGAGCTCTGTGAAGCTGTAGATAATTCAATCATCCACATATTGTGACAGTGTCCATACTATGATCTTCTCCCTAATTTTAACCCTTTATGCATTCTGGTGTATACAGTATATGGTAGTCATCAGCCTACACAAGTACAAACAAGTTTCTACCCTCCTCTGGTAGTTACCTAAAATAAACTCAATAGAAACCAAACCACTTAAAATATTTGCCATCCAAAAGAACATATCTTCACATACAATATGAACTTCAGCTGGAAAATCTCCTATTGATTACTCCTAAATCATATTATAAACATTAAGCCTCTTTTATCTGTCTTGATTAACCATTTATTTTAATTATCACATTAACTTTAATTAAATCTTCTTAGTTACTTATAATTTTTCAACTACATTGAAATTGAATTTAGATAGATATGTCTAGGACAGATTGCATATTACAGTATCTAAATGTTTATATTAGTGCTCTTATATTTTTTTTACACAAACTTTTCAATAGTGTTTTATACCTATTTCAGCATTTAGTGGTTTTCTTTCTGGGCAGATCTTCATCTGATTCAATTTAACCCTGACTGTGTTGGCTGATTTTATCTGCATCTCAGTCCTGTAATGACAATTATTTAGTTGGAATTTGACACTTCTTTCCTTTACTAATTTATTTTCTGATCTATATATTAATTCCTTTTTTTTTTTTCTTTGAGTCATTTCTTTTGGCTCATAATTATTTCCTAAGGCATTCCCATTAAACTAGCTGTTTATACAATTTTGATGCACTTTTTTTATCAGCTGACTAAAACTTACTGTATGTTTTGTAAATTTCTTTTTGCTCTGTTTTAACTATTATTCCTTATTAATTCCTTATATTGTTTTCTTAAACTATGGAAGTTTTTTTATGCGGAAGAGTTTGTTGTTGACAACAACCGGTAGCGCTACGACTTTTTCAAGGCGTTCAGATTGCGTGCACTATTCCACGTCGTATCCGTATAAACTCGTGAAAGAGAAAGCGAGAAATCTCCAACTGCTTCTGTCCACATTCTGAAGTGTTCATCAGATGGGTACATCTATCATAGGAGGCCACGAAAAACCATACGGCAAGATGATGATGCTACGTCACATTGTGGAAAACTGGATGGATTTAACATCTTACATGTAAGTAATTAAATCCAGAAAGACGGTTCCTTGAGTTAAGTTACAGTAAAATAGCAATAGTTGAGCTACTGTACAGTGAACTGTAGAATTACTGAAAGTGTAAAGATGCTTTACAGTATATTTATTTTATCTTGCTGTAAATTATCATGTAGGAACTTCTGTAAGCACATGACGTTACGTTTCAAACGTTAATTTACATAAAGACGATTATTCAATGTCTGACAGAAAAATATAGGAGGTATTGCAGATTAGCAAATTATAACATTAAACAGACGTCTGAGTTTTGATTTATGCTGATGTAGAATGCACTTTTGTCAATACAGCTTAGGTGAGATACATGTAATATTAATACAGTAATGTTTTCTTCTGTTCATTTGGTGATACATTTATGAAAGTATAATTTTGAGCACACAAATTACAGAGGTAATGTGACTTGTCTGGTTGTTATAGAGAAGGAAGCACACATGTTTGTGTGTTAGCTGATGCAGAGTGACTGAACAAATGCTACCATCATATTTGTTTAACAAAATATTTTTGTTTCAAACCGCTATTACAACAATTTCTTTAATGTTGATTTATATGCCATTTCTGGGCTGGAGCAGGACTTGCAAGGCAAGAAAACAGAGAAAACCTGAATTCAAAACAAGAAGTAAGATCATGTTATTACTTCAAATTCAGAACTCAAATGAAACTCAAAAAGTGTGCTGTTAAATGACTTCTTTATTAAGAGCTTTGCATAATCTGAAATGTCCTCAGACTGGTGTGTGCAGTGATGATGATGAAGAACAGCAGTGTGCTGATGAAGTAAATGTTGAAGATGCTGTAGTGCCGTGGACAAGACCCTGCATCCCTCCACCTGCCTGCGTGTCCTCATCTGAGCCAGATGCTGGTGTGGTCTCTTCATCTTCAGTATGAATCGGTTTCTCAGGCATGGACAGCCTCACCTCACAACACTGTTCCAGTCTGACTGCAGCACTGAGGGATGTGATGGCAAAAACAAGTGAAGTCCAGCATGCAGCAGAACAAGGGGTTTTGTCTGAAATACATGATTGTTTGAATAAGTTTGAATAAAGCTTAGTTTCGTATCTTGTTGACTTGTATTTATTTATCATGGTTATTATTATTCATTCTTTTAATCATACATTCATATTTTCTTTAATTGTTGATTAATACATTAATAACTTCAATAATGTATAATTACATTATTTCATTTTTTGACTGAAAATTAAGATGTACTCACCTTGGCTACATTTGTCTAGTGACTATTCATGCATAGCTGTGGTGTGTGTTTGTGTGTGTGTGTGTGTGTGTGTGTGTGTGTGTGTGTGTGTGTGTGTGTGTGTGTGTGTGTGTGTGTGTGTGTGTTTGTGTGTTTGTGAACAGCATTTATTATTTTTGTAAGTGTTGGGGTGGGCTGTGCAGTCTAGAGTAAATACTCACATTTTTCGAGTGTAAAATTTCTCTAAAGGAAGATCTTCAAGCAGCTGTCCGACATCTTTGTGCAGATGTACCAATGTGCCAACATTAGAAAGGCTATCAGGTAGGGTTATCAAGTTACTGATGCTATTAGGTGTTATTGCTTCTGTCCCTGCTATTTTATTTGTATTATTATGGGATTGTTATCAATAACAATTATTATTAATCATTATTATGCAGAAATAAAAATTTCATACAGGCTTAGGGAAACATTGCTGTATCTTAACAATTAACATAAACAGCAAAAAGAGAACAAATGTATTCTTTTGATATAAGAATATATGATTATATAATCAAACAAGACTGGAAAACTAACTTTAAGCATGTTCTACATGTGGATAAAAAATGTTACACAATAAAGGTAACAACAAATTAGGTGAAATTTGACAAGGATATCTTACGTAATAAAATAATAATTTAAATGAAGATTTATTAAACCTGCCATTTATTTAAAGTTGCGCTTGTAACGTCAGTTATGCAACTTTTTTTTTTTATCATCTTGCCTTATGGTTTTTTGTGGCCTCCTTTAATAGATGTACCCATCTGATGAACACTTCAGAATGTGGACAGAAGCAGTAGGAGATTTCTCGCTTTCTCTTTCACGAGTTTATACGGATACGACGTGGAATAGTGCACGCAAATCTGAACGCCTTGAAAAAGTCGTAGCGCTACCGGTTGTTGTCAACAACAAACTCTTCCGCCTTAAAGCTCCGCCTATGCTGGTTGATTGACACCTCATTTGCATTTAATTTATCATTTGCCATGTCAGTTTGAGGATTTGATTCACCATTTGCGATGTCAGTTTGAGCATTTGATTCACCATTTGCTGAGTCGTTTAAGGATTTGATTCACCATTTGCAGAGTTGTTTGAGCATTTGATTCACCATTTGCAATGTCGGTTTAAGGATTTGATTTATAGTTTGAGCATTTGATTCACCATTTGCGATGTCAGTTTGAGGATTTGATTTATCATTTGCAATGTCAGTTTGAGGATTTGATTTATCATTTGAGGACTCGGTTTGAGGATTTGATTCACCATTTGCAAAGTCCGTTTGAGCATTTGATTTATCATTTGCAGAGTCAGTTTGAGGATGTAATTTATCATTTGCAATGTCGGTTTGAGCATTTGATTTATAGTTTGAGCATTTGATTTATCATTTGATCTTTTAAGCATTTGAATTTTCATTTTAATTTTGTTAGGAAAAAACTTCCATATTAAACACTTTTCTCTTTCAATTTTTTTATAGCAATTTAGAACTGTTACTTTCTGACCTTATGTCCTATGAATTTATTTCAAATTGTTATTTCAATCTTCCCTTTAACTATAAATCATTTTTCTAGATTTGAATCCCTTTCCAGTTTTCAATATCCCATCTTGATTTGGGCCATTCACAATAAGATTATGCTAAGATATTTTCTTTACTTAGTTTTAACTTAAATACTTAATTCCATTCTTATTTATTCTCCAAATTTTTCTTTCTTTGACTCATCTGATGTATAGTTCTGGTGGAGCGTTTTTTCTCTTTGATCAGTCTCTTGTTAGTGTCTCTTTTGAATGTCTTTGAACAAATGTAGCTTGGTCAGCCCTCAGTAAATCCAGGGCATAAAAGTTCATGTCACAAGTGTCCACAACCATTTTGCTCTTTGTGTTTTTCCAAACACCTTTCCATTTGCCAGTGCACTCAGAGATGTCTGGTAGGTAGAGACTACAGTCCCCCAAAGTTCATCCATATGTCCTCTTAATTAATATATATAGAATTTTGCTCATGACTTAATAAATCTTTTCTTTTTTTTACTCTTTCCCAATTTTTCTTTCATCAAATGAAGACTCCTTTTATCAATTTTTTTTCTTTTGCTGTTTAATGACTTATTTTCTCTAATTCTCAATCATTTTTATCATATGTAAATATGCCTAATTTTCAATTTGTTAAATGTTCTTATAATTGATTTATTTGAATTCAGCTTGTGCTTTACTTATTTTTCTCCTAACCTTATTAATTTTTCTTTAAACATATTTTCCTTACACAAATGAATAAAATTTATTTCCTTATTAATATAACAATTTATATCCATATGTAGTTATTTCTATGCTTCAATTTTTTATTTCTTAACATTTATTAGTATAGCTTCTAGTTGCATTTTTATTAACACTTTTTATTTATTAAATCTTATTCTATCATGGATATTTTCTTATTTAATTTATCTTATTACATTACTTTATAATATTTCTATTTATTTAATACCTTATAATATATCTTTATTCTTTAGATTCTATCTGTCCTGTGAAACTTTTGTTTTTGTCTTAAAATAGACAGATTCTTACCACTCCTGAAGCAGACCTTCTTCCAGACTGTCGACATGTCAGGAATTTCAGTCACCTCTCTGCCTAGTTTATACTCATAACACTTCAAACACACAGAGATTATTCAGAAAAATGTTTAACTAGTATATTCTTCTTTTCAGTCCAAGTCTTTCAAATGCAATATGATCTCAATTAATTTTATGAGGCTTAATCCTCCTTTGTATCACAATATCTTCCCTAAACTGCATCACTCTCTATCTTATTGTTCTTAAATCACACAACATATGCAGTCTTTCTTTTATATTATAATATAAAATGATAATTCTTTTAAACTCACTCTTATTGCAACCATACTTCTAAACACAATCATACTTCTCACTCATCCTAACTCATCTCTTACACTGTGTAACCTGAACCTCACCTCTATTCTAGTCTCTCTAGATCAGGGGTCACCAATCCTGGTCCTAGAGGGCCGGTGTCCCTGCAGGCTTTAGCTCCAACTTGCCTCAACACACCTGCCTGGGTGTTTCAAGTATACCTAGTAAGACCTTGATTAGCTTGTTCAGGTGGGTTTGATTAGGGTTGGAGCTAAAATCTGCAGGACACTGGCCCTCCAGGAACAAGTTTGGTGACCACTGCTCTAAATCAAAGGTGGTAGCTTCTAAGCACCCCAGCATACACATTTTTTTTTCTTCTGTCCAACACAGACAAATACACAAATACTTACAATTACATAAATACACTACACTCCTCTTGAGTGACCTGTCCGAGCAGCCTCTAACCTAAGAGCGGTAACCACAGAATTCTCCACTACACTCCTCTTGAGTGACCTGTTACTTCTGCTCCAGTTTTTCCTGTTCTACAGTAAAAATAGCATTTCACAGGATTTTTGCCTTTTTTCCCCCAGCCTCCTGAATAATAACATTTATCATTATTAAAACAGAACGGGTACTCCGAGGCCTTTGCGCGCTTCTTTCTATACTTTATTAATCTGTTTTAACTTATTAATTGTCACCACCCTTTAAGAACTTCCTCTTAAAACTTAAAAATGCTCTAGGCATATTCTTCATCATTAAAAATTTCCCAAACATGAGTAACAGTTACTAGGTAACGTTTATCCTATCCGTCAAGGCCCTCTTAGGAAAACACAGATCATTTGCATGCAAATCGTTATTTTCTTCTGGTATTCAAAACCTCTTTGTTTCCTTTTTTATGTTTACTTTTACTTTTTTAGTTTTACTTGTAGTTCGTTAAAGCTGGAGAAACAGTTCAAGTGACTTTTTACCGTTACAAGCAGGTCCTTGGTAGAAAAAACACAAACGTATAAGCGAAAATTGCTTACCGTTTTTATCGTGGCCACATATTTGTGTTTTTCCTCCAAGCCCCAGCATGTCCAGTGTCACCTGTCCATCTCTTTCCAGCCCCACAATTTTGGGCGCCATTTGTCATAAATTGGACTTCTTATTAATTAGAAATGATCAGACCGGAGGTTTTGAATATCAGAAAATAGACTTTATTCTCCATAATAAAGCCGAGAAAGAGCCGAGCAGACCTCATAGCATTCTCCTCCTGCTCCTTCTAAACGTTCCAAAATCTTTATACATGTTTTTATGACACACCCCTTTGTGTCTCTTTTTAACTCTTGACCATTTTTGAATAGGTTTTTAGTCTAAGGGGTCCTGCTATTCTTGGCTCTCAGCCCACTAGCTCATGTAAACAGAGTTGTTACAGGTCTGTGTCAGCAAAGTATAGATGCAACTTATGCAAAGGAACTAAGTGTTTACATACATTGTTATGATAGAATAATAACTTGATAATATGTTACTCATTCTAACTTCTGACACATATAGCTTCATACATATATGATCAGTGCTTTGCATGTTCAGTTATTCTACACAATCAGTGACTCAGCCTTCTCCCAGTGTTGCTCCTGTGCAGGCATACTCATCTTACACAGACATATCACTGTATTTTTAACACAGGCTGGCATGTTTGCTGCAAACACTACATACATTTTGTGAAGAGAAAATTAACTGCTTTACACTTAGAAAATACTTCATACAGAGAGAATAAAATCTTCTTCACTACCCGTATCCGGACCCGAGTCCTCTGTGCTTGTGTGGTTAAGCGTACAGGTTATCCAGGTTGCAGATCAAAAGATTGGGTTCATCTGTCTGACATAACTGACCCCTGCTGAAGAATGCGTTAGATACCTTGGCGTTTTGTCACTCCGGCTTGTGTGGATCACAGTGGCATCATCAATCGTACTTCAAGAAGCACCGTCCGTGTCAACTGGCATACGGTCAATCTTGGTTAATTACCCTGTCATGATTCCATACACGTGCCCGCCTGAGTGAGATTGGCCACCTCATTCTATAGGCCTAGAGCGGCACTGGAATCATCAGGCGAAACCCAATTTTGAATCATGCCAGGCGGTCAGTGACTTCCTTGAGTGCTAAGTATTGTGCTAAAAGCCTACGCTGTGTGAGTTCACAACCGAGTTACATTATGGGCAAGTGATCTAGACTAGACTGCAGTAGGAGTTGGGGAAAGTCTAGCCAGATAGCACGCTCTTGCGATCTTCATCTGAATGCCTTTCACTCACCACCAAGTGTAAATAGCATGTAAACCTAGTCTAAACTTAGCCCACTACAGGACTATAAAACGAATGTTTTAGACATGCCCATAGGTTTTGCTATTCTCTCTCTCTCTTCTCATCCTTGTCTGTCTTTTATTTATATTTTAATTCATGTTTACTGATATCCATTATTAGTATTACTTTCTTTCATTTTTCTTTCTCTGTACATTCGTTCATCCGAGCGAGGCGCCATTTTGTCTAACTTATTATTTATTTATTTATTTTTTTTTTGGGTTACTGTTATTTTTATTTACTTAATTATTTTTTTTACTTTGACCTGCTCAGATACCACACTATTGAGAACCACCAGGGTGATCTAAATAATTGATCGATAATTTGTACAGCCTGGCGCATGACTAAAAGCCTTGAGGCCAGTACGTAGATATCAACTATTATATAGCCACCCCAATTCGACATCCGAGTTGTCCAGCCCCCAGTGGATCCTTAGAAGGACCAACATCTAGCCGGCACATACCCCCTAGCTGACAACCCGGTCAGACTAATAATATAGCACAATGCTAAGATCCATTCAAATTTGCCATGTGGGTCTCACCCACACTTCTCAAAGCCAACAATGATGGCTGTCACCCTCAAGAAGCCCCACTCAGGCCAGACCATGCCAGAGGTCTGCTCCGTCATCAGCAAACAAGACTCTGTGGTGCCAGCCTATACAAACAGGTGTCCTATATGGCTCTCCATACAAAAGGCCGAACTCTAAACCACATATTAAGGTGTTCTTCCAACCAACTACAAAAGGCATAAAACTGGGCCTCAACCTGGAAGCCACACGCTTAATTGAACTGTCCTCATGAACAGTATATGTCTTGTTTAAGAGCTGCATGGCAACTGACATAAAAATCCCCAAAAACTACCGACTGGGATGATTTGGTCAGCTATGAGTTCCATGACTTTGAACTCTTGGTGCCGTTTAGTGGCCTCACCCTACATGCAACGACACCAGTGGGGAGCGTAGGAAACACAGACTATACTGTTCCATTCAAGCTCGCCACACTCACGTCTGTCTTACCAGTAAACAAAGAACAGGTAGGCAGAAGTGAGCTCACCGAGGACTAACTCCTTGCCGTGTGCCCAGCCACTTGTCACCCCATCACTAACATGGATGAAGACAGGGCACTTTCCTCAACAGAACAGACATGCTGAGGCCACGCAGGATGATGCCAACCGACAAACGTCAGCACATCCTGTATGACTACAACGGTGCCCTCACTAAAGACTCTTTAGACTGCAAGTCCCACTGACCTTCATATTTAAATACCCAACTCCATGGTGGAAAAAGGACATCTGTCAATACAACAACACCTACTCTGCACCCATCTGGCCCGTCCTCAAGCCAAACGTCAAAGGGTGCCTAGCTATAGAAAGCTAAATCAGCAAATGCCATTGTCACGAGGGCAAATGACACCCCTGGAACAGGAAGTGCCCAGAATTCAAGGACCAACCATCTTCTCAACGCTTGATGTGGTCCCCGCCTTCTGGACGATACCTGTACATCCAAATGACCAGGATCATGAGGTGCCCGTCGGCTAGGCCAACTCACCAGCTGAAACCAACACCCTCCTGAACAAAGCATATCCCTATGTTTATGTTAGAGGCAACCTCATCTACGTTGATGACATCCTTAATGAAAGTACCTATAAGGCTATCAGGTGGGAGAGGGAGGGTATGCCTGGGGGTGTTAGGGGCCGCAGTCATTCTGTTCCATTAGCCTATGGGTTCCAATATGGAGTTAGGGGTGGTGCTCATTCACCGGGCAATGCCCAACAGACTGAAATAAGTGATTTGAGGGAGATTTTAAAATCACAGCAAGAGCAGCTGAACCAGCTTACTAGGAGTATCGCTCTGCTGCATGAACCCCCTCGTGGTCCTCTGTTGGGTCGTAATGATTCTGTAATATGTAGAAGATGTCAAAAACGTGGTCACTTTGCAAGGGAGTGTGAGGGGGAGCGTGTTCCTTCGCGCCCTCCTCCACCAGACCGAATAGACACCAGAGTTCCAGAGAATAGGCAGTTAAACCCACGTCCGGTGTCGGAAAACTAGCTCCCGCCGTGTTGTTGAGTCGCAGCACAGGTGGGAGAGATGTAGACTCGGTGTTGTGTAGGGATGGTTCTATACCAAACTTAATGCTGTCTTGTCCCCATTTGGTGGTAGTTATGGGTGGGGTGTCTGTGCCGTGCCTGGTGGACACTGGCTCAATGGTGTCTACCATCACGGAAACTTGTTTCCGTGAATGTTTTGAGCCATGGGACCAGGAACGGCTCAAATCCTGTCAGTGGTTGCAGTTTAGGGCTGCTAATGGGTTGTCTATTCCTTATACAGGGTACATCGAACTAGATGTAGAACTGTGTGGTGAGGCAGTTCCAAAATATGGTGTGTTGGTTGTCCGGGATCCTCCTGGTGGCATCAGTGCCCAAGCCCCTGGTGTGGTGGGTATGAACATTTTGGGCCGGTGCTACCAGGAGCTCTTTGGACAATATGGATCTTCTCTTTTTGATTCTCCCCCAGTGTCAAGTGCTTCAAGGAAGGTGTTCCAGGCTTTACAACACTGTATTCAGGCAAGATTACAGATGCCGACAGAGGGGATAGGAAAGGTACGGGTGCGTGGCCCTCAAGTAAGTCGTGTTCCAGGGAGTAGGATTAAGATGGTAGTGGCTACTTGTTCTGAGAAATTTTCTAGCGGTGTGGCCCTGTTTGAGCCGTTGGAGACTGGACTTCCAGCAGGGCTACTAGCTTCTCCTGCCCTGGTTCAAGTTATCAGAGGTACTGTACATGTCCCTATTGTAAATGTTGAGACCTCCGATGGCTTGTTATTCCCTCGCAGGGTGATTGGTACATTAACTAGTGTGTACATTGTTTCTTCCTCCCCAGGAGTCATTGAAACTAGGTCTCTAGCGGGGACTGGGCCCTTAACTGGCACCACGTGCGCCATTAGTGCCAAGGCAGATTCTCCTCGGGTGCCCGAAGGGATAGATGCGGTTGATTTATCATTACTCTCCAGGGAAGAGCAGGATAAGGTGAGGGCTTTGCTGGGGAAGTATCAGACTGTCTTTGCTGCATGCGAAAGTGATTTAGGGTGCACTGACATGATCTCACATGATATCCCGCAACTAGATGACATCCCTGTCCGGCAGCGGTACAGACGCATACCTCCCACCGAATATGATGTGGTGTGAACTCATATAAACCAAGTGCTAGAGACACAGGTGATTTGTGAGAGTTGCAGTCCCTATGCCTCTCCTATAGTTCTGGTGAAGAAAAAGGATGGCAGTCTACGCCTGTGTGTAGACTACCGTCAATTAAATGCCAAAACGAGGAAGGATGCGTTTCCCCTGCCTCGTATTGAGGAGTCATTGGATCTCCTGTCGAGGGCCCACTGGTTTTCCACAATGGATTTAGCCAGTGGGTACAACCAAGTCCCGGTCACCGAAGAGGACAGGTATAAGACTGCTTTTTGCACCCCATTTGGGTTATTTGAATGGAATCGGATGCCCTTTGGACTGTGCAATGCTCCTAGTACGTTCCAGCGGCTAATGCAGCGTTTGTTCGGGGATCAATGTCAGTCCTTATTGCTATATTTAGATGACATAATTGTGTTCTCTTCCTCTGTAGAGCAGCATCTAGAGCGGTTGGTGGTTGTTCTAGGTCGTCTAAAAAGGGAGGGGCTGAAGGCTAGGCTGGACAAGTGTGCGTTTTTGAGGCCAGAGGTTGGTTATCTAGGCCATGTCATCTCAGCAAAGGGTGTCTCCACTGACCCGAACAAGACCCAGGCAGTTGCTCAGTGGCCTCGTCCGTCTAGTGCCACTGGCCTGCGTTCTTTTCTCGGCTTTGCCAGTTATTATCGTCGGTTCGTAGAGGGGTTTGCAAAGATTGCAGCCCCCCTGCACCGACTGGCAGCTGAGTTTTCTGGTAAGCGCAAGTCAAAACATTCTGGGGCAGGGTTTGGGGACGCCTGGAGTGATCAGTGTGAGAATAGTTTTGCTGAGTTAAAGGTACGACTCACCACTGCCCCTGTACTCGCATATGCAGATTTTTCAAAGCCATTCATTCTGGAGGTGGATGCCAGCCATGGGGGCTTGGGGGCAGTCCTCTCTCAAGAGCAGGAGGGGCGAGTTCGCCCTATTGCGTATGCGAGTCGTAGTCTGAGGCCCACGGAGCGCAATATGTCTAACTACAGTTCTATGAAGTTGGAGTTTGTTGCGCTCAAGTGGGCCATGACGGAGAAGTTTAGGGAGTATTTGTTGGGCAGTCGGTGTGTCGTCTTTACGGATAACAATCCACTTAGTCACCTGTTGAGTGCGAAACTCGGGGCGGCTGAGCAGCGGTGGGCAGCACAGTTAGCTGCATTCAACTTTGAGATTCGTTATCGCTCTGGAAAAAGTAACTTGAATGCAGATGCTCTTTCTCGTCAGAATTCTTCTGAGAGTCCAGTGATGGGAGGCCTGGTACCAGGAACGGTAGTGCCCGCACCTTTAAGACAAGCCTTGGAGGGGGCGCCAATAGTTGATGTACAACAGTCTATGATATCTACTATGCCAGGTTATTCTTTGTCAGATTTGGGATCACT